ATACTCCTCAGACAGTCAATCTCTTGAGCTAAGACCAGTAAATCCTCGATTAAACAAGATCGGCATTTCATCAAACACTTGGTGGGCATAAGATGAAGCCTAATTCTAGATTCATGAGATCAAGACAAATCTAGCCTAAGAACAGATTTATAGACAATAAGCACCAACAAACCCTAATCAAGCCTCTAAATTCCCTTAATCTACCACATCTAAGAACCCTAAGGGAGCTACTCACTAATCATCATAGATAACACCAAATCACAAGAGTAAATGATGCTAAACATGATTAAGAAGGAGATTAGAGAAGAAATTAAAAGGCAAATACAAAACTTTGACTAAAATGATAGATTTGTTCTTACAAAGACATAAAAATTCTTAAAACAAAGTAAGAACAAGACCATCTCCTAAAAATCTTAGAACAAGCTATTTATACTAAAAGACAAAAGCCTTAAGATAATGGCAAAGATGTCAATAAAGTGAAGTTCGGACTGGTCTGTATCGGTCTTGAGTGATCGATAGACTTGATCGATAGAGCATTTGCTACTTTTCCATCTGTCACTCCATGACCGATAGGCTTGATCGATAGGCTTCTGCTGGATTCCCATCGGTCAGTCTTGACCGATACACTTGACCGATGGAGCATCCGCTTGATTCCCATCGGTCACTCCTTGGCCGATAGGCTTGATCGATAGGCTCCTGCTGCTTTGTATCGATCATGCCAGACCGATAGGCTTCGTGCTTTGACCGATGGAACACCAGAAATTACCTTCCTTAGCTCCTTTTGCTCCTCCTCAGCTTGGCTAGCTCCATGATCCATTCCCACACTTCCTCCTTGCTCCCAAATGCTTCGTAAGTACCTAAAAACATCCTTAATACATAGAGAATATAAACTACAATCTAAATGCAATCTAAGCCTAAAAGGAGAAGAAAATGGGACTAAAGAGAACGAAAACATGTAAAAGAAGACCAAAACATGAGCTAAATGCAAGCCTAAATGATGTAAATGTATTAGATATTAACTGAGCAAGCAATAGCTTATCAAGCTTCTCGTTGCTTGCTCTGTCAAGTTGCATGCAGATATTGGGAAGTACTCCACGGTAGAGAGTGCTGATCAAAGAATCCTTTGAGAAGCCATGAAGAGGGCATTGGAGTGTGTATCCTTTGGAGCGCTCTCATGATTCTCCAAAACTCTCATTTGCCTTGTGTTAAACCAGAGATTTCATTTCTAAGCTGGGTTGGCATGAGGTGGAGAAGAACTTTGACAAGAAAGCTTTCTTACACTCTTCCCAAGAGGTAGATCCCTGAGGAGATTCTTCTCCTAAGTATGCGCTTTGTCGCCTAGATAGAAAGGAAACAAACTGAGCTTGAAGCTATCCTCAATTACTATATTGATCTTTGTCATAGAACAGAGATGACCAAACTTATCTAGATGATTAAGTGGATATTCCAATGGCAAACTGTGGCATCTATTGCTCCGAACCATGGAAATTAAACCTCTTTTAGTCTTGAAGTTGTTGTTGGCAACTAGAGGTGAGATGATGCCATGGCGGTTCACAAACTTGTTAGGAGCGTCTCTCGCTTTAATTTACCTAACAACACGAGATTGTTGTTGTGGTCCAACAGAGCCTTGTGCACCTTGCACATCTTGTGCTCCTTGCTGGCTCGGAGGGCCCTTAACACCTTGTTCATCTTGTTGTCCTAGCATACCGTGTGGGACTTGAACCGCATGGCTATCCATTCCCAACTGAGTTACGTGAGCTAACCATTCTCTTTCAACCCTTTGAGCACTAGCTCTAGCTGATCTTTCAGCCGAGTAGATCTCATCAATGGGTGGGATAAGGTTGTTTGGTCCTTGGGAACGCAAGTTCATACACCCTGCATGAGAGAAAACAAAGAAAGCAAATTAGTGAACAAAGAAAAATAAAACTTGTTCTTAGGATCACCACAATTCTAATGATCAAAAACAAATCCCAAATAGCAACGAAGCCAATTGATAAGTAGGTTTTATCTACTTGGTCAATATCCAACACCTACTAAGTCGAATGTAGTACTGTTATGGTGTTTGTCAAATATAAAAGGGGGGGTATTTTAACGCATTGAAACTATAGAGGTTATTCTAAGTCGAGTTGAAAATCAAGATTGTTTATTTGCCTAGAAAACTAGACAAAGGTGTAACTTTTCTACTAAATAAGAACAAACACATCAATAGCAATAAAAATCAGATTTAAAAATGAACATTAATCAAGTATAAGCACTAGACAATGATTTTAAATAAAAGCTTTAACAAGAATGATAAGGTAGGGGTTGGGGTTTATTGAGTTGGGGGAAACTCTTGAATTTTACTAAGATGCTTTAAACAACATTTAACAAATGATTCAACAATAGGTTAGCCCTTGGGAGAGATGAGTACGATGCCGAGGTCGGCGCCACAGAAGTTGCTTGCACCGTCGACAAATAGCTTCCACTTGTGTGACGAGGCCACTGTTTTGACCGGTGCTAGTTCATCATCTTCTGGGCTTTGATTCATGAATTCAGCAATGAAGTCGGTAAGGGCTTGAGACTTGATTGTTGTGCAGCTCACATACTGGATATCAAACCGGTCCATTCCCACGGCCCACTTCATGAGTTTCTCAGATGACTCGGGCTTGCTCAATACATTCTTTGGCGGGTCGGTGGAAACGACATGGATATGGTGCGATTGGAAGTACGGACGGAGTTTTCAGCTATTAAGGACAAGGTTAAGGGATAGCTTTTCCAATTGCGTATAACACGTTTCTGTACTGAGCACTAGCTCTAGCTGATCTTTCAACCAAGTATATCTCGTCAATGGGTGGGATAAGGTTGTTTGGTCCTTGGGAACACAAGTTCATGCACCTTGCAAGAGAGAAAACAAAGATAGCAAATTAGTGAACAAAGAAAAATAAAACTTGATCTTAAGATCACCACAATTTTAATGATCAAAAACAAATCCCAAATAGCAACGAAGCCAATTGATAAGTAGGTTTTATCTACTTGGTCAGTATCCAACAACTACTAAGTCGAATGTAGTATACTGTTATGGGTTTTGTCAAATCTAAAAGGGGAGTATTTTAATGTATTAAAACTATAGAAGTTATTCTAAGTCGAGTTGAAAATCAAGATTGTTTATTTGCCTAGAAAACTAGACAAATGTGTAACTTTTCTACTAAATAAGAACAAACACATCAATAGCAATAAAAATAAGATTTAACAATGAACACTAGACAATGATTTTGAATAAAAGCTTTAACAAGAAAGATAAGGTAGAGGTTGGGGTTTATTGAGTTGGGGAAAACTCTTGAATTTTACTAAGATGCTTTAAACAACATTTAACAAATGATTCAACAATAGGTTAGCCTTTGGGAGAGATGAGTACGATGTCGAGGCCGGCGCCACAGAAGTTGCTTGCACCATCGACAAATAGCTTCCACTTGTCTGACGAGGCCACTGTTTTGACCGGTGCTAGGTCATCATCTTCTGGGCTTTATTCGTGAATTCAGCAATGAAGTCGGTAAGGGCTTGAGACTTGATTGTTATGCAGCTCACATACTGGATATCAAACCGGTCCAGTCCCACGGCCCACTTCATGAGTTTCTCAGATGACTCGGGCTTGCTCAGTACATTCTTTAGCGTGTTGGTGGAAACGACATGGGTATGGTGCGATTGGAAGTACAGACGGAGTTTTCAGCTACTAAGGACAACGCCAAGGGATAGCTTTTCCAATCGCGTATAACACGTTTCTGTGTCGAGCAGGATATAACTGGTGTAGTACATCGAGAGTTGTTCACCGCCGTCCTCTCGCACTAGGACTGAGGATGTTGCACCATCTGAGATCGCTAAGTATAGTCGTAATGGATCGCTGTTGACAGGTTTTGACAGGACTGGGGCTGTGGTTAGGTAGTCCTTTAACCGCTGCAAGGCCTCGGCGCACTCTGTTCAAATGGGCTGAACTTTAGCATTTGTAGTAAAAAGGGGTGCGCTTTGTCTGAAAGTTAGGAGATGAACCGGCTTAGGGTGACAGTTCGTCCGTCCAAGCACTGTACTTCCTTTATGCTTCGAGGCAAGAGCAGCTTAATGCTTCTCGGGTTACTGCAATGTTTAATGTTTGCTCCTCATGCGTTTGAACTTAATGTGCCACAGTGCAATTTGTGGCCCAACAATAACATATATGATTCTATTGAACTAAATATTATATATAATATGTTAATAAAACTATGTATTTATAAATTATATTAAAAACTAATATACATAACTAGTTATTTTAAAAGAGTTATATACAAATTATGGATATGTAACATATAATATATAAAAAAAAATTAGATAGAAACATTATTATTTTTATTGATATTCTTATAAAATAAAAAATCAAATGTATATTTTTATAAAGTTAAAAAATTCTAAAAAATATAATAACAAAAAAAACTTACTTCAGATCTATAAAGGACGTGTTTGAATCTGCTGCAAATAAGGTAACAAAATAGATGATATATAAAAAACAATTAGAAAAGATTAAGAAAAATAGGAAAAAAAAAAAAATAACATGCATGCATAGGCTTGTTCCCATCCAATACATTTCTTCGTTTTTCTTACAAATCCACATTTATACACTGATTTTAAATTTGCATGCAGATTACTAATTAAAATACACTTTTTTTTGTTCTGTATTAAAAAGTGTAAATGGCACATTTGTTGCAGGTAGATATGCATATTTTTTTATGTGCATTTATATTGCATTTTTATCTACATCTCATTCAAAGTAAATGACTGATGAATTTGTTCTATTTTTAATATAAAAAGATAAAAAAAAAAATGTTTTGTGCAGATCTTTTATTTGGACCGACCGTGAACAGCCCACTTGGACCTAGTCATATTTGGACGCGGACATATTTGGGCGCAGTCACTTTTGGACGTGACCATATTTGTCTATATTTGGGCGCAGTCACTTTTGGACGTGACCATATTTGTCTATAAAAAGCAAATGTCTATTTGCCAGCCTTTGCTAATTTCACTCTCACCTTAAAGTAATTTAAGCATCGACATAGGTTTGTCTATCTTTTTAGAGTTTTTTGGACATGGTTTGGCTCAAACCCAAAAATCAAAGAGAACCAAAAACAAACCAACAAAACTAACAGATCAGATTAAATCGAGAATGATCAAACCCTAATCAAAAATTTAATTTTAAGAATAGTTGCCGCCGCACAAATCCCCCCCTGACTTTCCGACCATCAAGCCACCGGAAGAGGCTTGTAAAGAAGAAGATCCTCGCCTCTAGCACCGCCCCAATCACTCAAACACATAACACCACCGGAGCAGCCTTGCTTAACCAAAAAACTGCCTCGAGTTAAGACCTTCGCGCAACTAAAGAGGCTCAGGACCACCACTAACAGACACGGCAGAGCTTTGCAAAATCCACAAATGCAAACCGAAAGAGAGATGAAACAATGCAACTCATAATGATTAGAGAAGCTTCTCGTACTGCACATGGGCAAAATGTGAGGATGCGGGAGAAGAAGACACTTGACAAAGATCAGCACAGGGAAGAATACCAGCTACACTAATGTGATAAGGAATTGGTAATCGTTATAAACCTTGTTCAGAAACTCGTTGAGCGTTAATCAAACGCTCGGTCCGGGGTTAGTAACCTTTGCAAAAATCAAAAATAAATCAGAGAGTAATCAAAAATTTAGTTTTATAATTTATATTTTATTTAATATACTATGTGTAAAAAACATAACAATACAAGCTGGTGTAGTAGTTTGTGCTCCATATTCTTCATTAGAAGACATGAGTTTGAACCCAAAGCTATGAATTTTATTCGATTTTTTTTGTTTTAAGACAAATGACCAAAATACCTTAATCTTCTTCTTTATGTCTGCGACGGTCAAACCTTAAAATCTCCCATTTTCTGAGTTTTTTTCACCATTGTTGACGTTATTGTTCGATTTTCTTTGTTTTCTCTATTTATATCAGATCTAGTACCAAATATGTGGTCCTGTGCTAAAAATATAACAATTATGAACTTGATTTATATTTTCCGAGTTTTTGGCCGATTCTAAATGGCCAAAAAATGCAGATTGATCTGCTTTATAAATATTCTACAGTTGTTCTGCATATATTCTATGTTACCACTCATACCCTGTAGATCTAGATAGTTAATTTGAACATTTAAAGGTTTGAGTTGAAAAAAATATGGTATTATTGTACAGGTATAAAAAGCACAATATGTTATAAACAATACTCCCTATGTTCATTCATCAAAGATATTTTAGAATTTTTACACATATGAAGTAAATTTATTAAAACTTGATTATAAATATATTAATTTTGTAATTAACAATTCTAAATAAATTTTAACCAATATTAACAAATTCACTTTTATTTTGAAAACTATATTTTATCATCATTAACTAATAAAAATACATTAAGAACACAGAACATTCATCTTTTAAAACATCTTTTTTTAAAGAACGGAGGGAGTATATATACAAGGTGAGATAATTAAATATGTGTGTATATTATAATGAGAGAGAGAGAGAGAGTAGACAAGATATGAGAGTAAAATCTGATAAAATAATCAATTGGATAATCAGTATGTTTAACACTCCTCTTTGATTATCCATCATTGTTAATGTATTACGTACTGCATCTTTAAAAAACATATTATTAAAAAATAATGGGATAAAACCACGACAAGAGAAAAAAGTACAGTGACGTTAACTTCCCTTGCAAATGATGGATATATATCTATTAAATGATGCATTCTAATGCTATGAATGTGTTTTCTAAATGTTATAGTGGAAATTGCATTTGTGAATAAATCGGCTGTATTGTCTCATGAAGGAAATAATGAATGTCCACTTCTTTATTCTTCTAGAACTCTCGTGTGTAAGAGAAAAATCTTGGAGGGATATGTTTTGTTCGATCACTTTTAATATAACTTTATGCAACACATGCATCATTATCTTCAAAAACTTATGTTGGCTTCTTCTTTATATCTATTTCACTTGTCTCTTGTATGCGATGAATCATAGATCTGAGCCATACACAATTTCTATAAGCCTCATGAAGTGCAATGATTTATGCATCATTTGAAGACGTTGCAACCAAAGTCTGCTTTTTGGAAATACCAAGAGATCACAGTTCCTCCAATTATGAAAATATATCCAGTTTGCGATCGAGCCTTATGCGGATGCGATAAATATTTTGCATCTTCAAAACCAACCAGGCCAACCCCTGAGGTTCTATTATAAAAAAAAACCAAAATTGACCGTACCTTGTAGATAATAACATATACATTTTATTCCGTTTCAATTTCGGCGAGTGGAGGATAAGGTATATCTTACAAGTAAATTAGAAGTAATATTTATATTTGGCCGAGTATAATTTGCAAGATACATGAGCCTACTGATAGCACTTATATAAGGTACTTCAAGACCTAAGATTTTTTTGCTATCCTCACAAGGTTGAAACAGATCTTTATCAACATCAAGCGATCTATTAACCATCGGAGTACTTAAAAATTACTTTATCCATATAAAAGCGTTTTAATATCCTTTTCATATAATTTGATTGACGAACAAATATTCCATCTTGGAGATGCTCAATCTGAAGTCCAAGATCTTTCATATCGAACTCTTCTTTCATACGAGTTCTTGCATCATTAATCTATTTTTGAGTTCCGATAATGTTCAGGTCATCAACATATACAGCAACAATCACAAATCTTGATAAGGATTTCTTAATAAACACAAGGGTATATTGCATTGTTGGCATAACATTTTCTCAACTAATACTCACTTAAGTAATTATACCACATGAATCTGGATTGTTTTAAACCGTAAAGTGATCGCAGTAATTTAATCACACAAATCTCTTTAGATTTTGATCTTAATGGTTCTGGTATTTTCAATCCTTTAGGGATTTATATATATATCTCACTATCAAGTGATCCATATAGATATGCTGTCACCACATCCACTAGATACATGTTTAGATTTTTAGATGATGCTAGACTCATTAAGATTTTAAATGTGATTCCGTCCATTAACAGAGAATATGTTTCCTCAAAATCAATTCCCGGTCTTTGAAAAAATTCTTGGGCCACATGCCGGCCTTTATACCTTGTAACCTCATTTTTCTCATTTCTCATTTTTACCAAAATTAATTTGTATCTGACTGGCATTATATGTTAGTGTTGTGAATATAGGTCCAAAAACTTCTCTTTTATTGAGGGAGAACAATTATGTTTATATGGCCATCTTCCATTTCTCCCCTTCATGTCTTTTCTGACATTATGATATGGACCTTGGATCTGGATCATCATCTTCATAATCAAGCTCTTTAGATATAGAACAAAAAATATTCTATCAATTTCTTTTATTTTATATTTGATCCATAATTCTCTATAATGCAGATCTCTTGCAATCACTAAAAAAAAGTTTGATCACCAGAACTAAGTAATCTTACCAAAAGATAGGCACTAAAGCTAGACACTAGTGGTTACATCTCCGGTTTCCGGACCATAAAATGTTAGTGATTATAATTCTGTGATGTTTGGTATAACATCCAGAATGATGTTATGTGGAGAAATTGTAATTAATTATAATGAAATTGAGAAAACTCTCCACATTTCATCCTGGAAATGTTGTCCTGCAATAACAATACTAGGAAACTGAATATACTCATTATTCAGAGTTTATGCATGCACTGCTTGTTGCAGAGAAGTGTAACGAGCTCACGATGATAAACAATCAAAGCCGTTCAACTGGATCTGCATCATTCCCAGAAGTGAATGTTGCATCGTCTAACTACGATAATTGTCAAGGACATGGACATAGACGCGGGCAATACCATGGTCGATATCGTGGACGTGGACAAGGAAGAGATTATCGTCCTCATGATTTCAATAATGGAAAAAATATTAAATGGAAATTATTTATTTCAGATGCAACATGAAAGGACATTGGATACATATATATTGTATGCCAAAATATTTAGCCAATCAGTACCGGGAATCTGATAAGGCAAAATAAAATGAAAGTGAGACTTGGAATGGAGATATATGTCTAACAGACAGTGCTACAATGCACACGATAATTAAGGATAAAATATATTTCTCCATTCTCAATATGAAAGATTCCGATGGAAGCGTAAATACGATATCTGGTAATGCAAAAATTATTATAGGCCCTGGAAGAGTCAATTTTTCAATGCCAAGGGGAAGGAAATTTGAGAAAAACAATGTCTTATATTCCCTAAAGTCTTAAAGAAATTTGTTATGTCTAAAAGCTATGCGGACAAATGGATAACACATAGAAACTATGAATAAGAATTGCATTGAATATCTTTGCATTGCATCAGAGAGAAAACAAATTATTAAAAGTGTTCCAAATGTTATCTTCTGGACTATATTGCATAAAAATTCATATGTTACAGTAAACCAGAAGTTTATTAGTACATTTGAAATTTGGCATGAAAGCTTAGATCATCCTAATTTAGTCATGATGAAAAGATTGTGCAAAATTCTAATGACTATCCATTGAAAAACGAGAAAATATTACTATCAGAAGTTTTTTATGTAATGCATGTCCTAAAAAAAAACTATAACTCGGTCATCACCAGCTAAAGTTGGGAATGAATTACAAGAATTTTTAGAAAGAATGTTGGGTGATATATATTGGGCGATCCACCCACAATGCAGATGGTCACATGTGTGTCTATTGACAACACAAATACGGCTTTCGCTAAGTTCATTACCCAAATAATCTGGTTGAAAGTGTAATTCCTTGATTATGTCACAAAGTAAGTAAGATTGGATGACACTAGTGAATTCATTCCACATCTTTGTAATGACTATTGTATATAATTAGGAATCGATGTTGAAAATATATTATGCATGTTCATACACAAAATGGCATGTCTGAGTCTTTGTAAACAATTGCAATTGGTTGCAATACCGTTAATCTTGATTACAAAACTCCAAATTAATGTATGGGCTTAATGTGCCACAGTCTTGCTCTAAATACGACCAAGTGCATATAATAAGTATTCTCCATTCCAAGTCTACCACTTCGACATAACATATAAACGGAGAAGACATAGCTTATCTTTCCGTAAATAATAAAATTTTAAATAAATTAAACATAAATAAATCTCATATATCTGGTATTGATCATAAGAAGTTCGTGATGACAATGTGTTATAAACTATATATATAGTGAGAGGGGAGAAAGGAGTTCATCATTTTTTCTTGACTTCATACATCTGTGTATTTTACATGAGAAGAGGAAATCACTTATATATAGTGAATAGAAAACATTAAACAATCAAAGTTGGTGGAGCTTACGTCGTTTAGATAAAATATTATAATACAACCAATTGGATAATCAGTAATTTTAACACTCTCCCATGATTATCTACCATTATTGGTGTATTATATACTGCTTTAATAATTAGTGTTTTAATACTCCCCCTTGTTAATTAATATATTTAATAAAATAGATTTTATTAGGTTAAAATAAGAGAAATTGCATTATAGGATGCTCAATAACCAATTAATTAAATAACACAAAACAGCTTTATTTTTTATATTGTTTATAAATATATGATTATTTTGTCTATATTTTTATGTTATCATTTTTTCTTTCTCTTTATTCAAATAATCGAAAGAGAAAAAGTAAGTAAAAGAAGAAAAAAAAAGGAAGGTGAAGAAGAATAGAGAAACAAAAGAAGGAAAGATTTTTGAATTTTTAAGATTTTAAGATTTTGATTATAATGGTGAAGTAAAGCGTCGACAATAACGATAACAATATTATTAGCGGACGATGATAACGGTAATGATGTTGGTGATAATGATGATGTTGGTGATAGTGATGATGACAGTAGGATAAGGGGACAATGATGGTGATGATGACAGTGATAAAGTTGGAAGATATAGATAACATTTTATCGTTTTTATCAAATTAACTTCAGATTATGATTGGTGAGTATCTATATTTGTTACATGTTAATATTTAAATATTTAATATGTCAAAAAATAACAATATTTAATTTTATAATTGTAAAGTTATCGTTCTATATAATTTATCATTATAATTGTTATCGTGTGTTAGGGATAATTTTAACCGGTTCGAACAAGAACAGCAATACGGAATGACAGGAAAGAATGTATTTTATTAATCAATAGATATCAAAGTACAATGAATCAATATCAAAGATTAGCCTAAGAGAATATGTATGTCGCTCCTCGTTTATCGACAGGTCGATGTCGGTCATTGGGTTCGGGAGCGGTGATCGTATTACTCTTAGGGTTTTCTAGAATTATTGTTCGTCCCTCTCTCTCTTGAGGGACATGGGGGCGTAAAAGGGGATCCTATCAACTTGTTCCGACCTAGGATAATAAGCTCATGGGTTTTGGGTGTGAAGCTGTGTTATTTTTTTGAATATGAAAAAATAAAGAAGCCATTGCAAAAAAATTCACGGGATTCAATCAATTCGAGAACCTCCTAATTTATAGATTCTCTTCAACCCTAATATCTCTAGGATTGGGCCTTGTATGTCGGTCGTTCCTAATCTCCTTTAGATTGGAATCTTATGTCGGTCATTTGACTCATTCAATTATATCAACCAACGGTTAATATTTAACCATCGGTATACGCCATTGATCATGGTTTAGTCGTTGTCAATGGTTGTCTGTCGTTCTATTTTAATTATACAGAACATGAGAGTTCCGAACCATGCCAATATAACAGCGACCATGTATCTATATCACTAGCCAAACTGATTTCAGAATTGACCGACTGGTGAATTATTTCACCCAACAACTTGCCCCTTACTCTTCAATTTCTTTTTAGAATTTGGAGAGTAGTAATCTTGCTTAAATCATCAATCGGTCGACAACAGTGGTCGCTCGTTGAATAAGTAGCATCCTTTTATCAGTAGCTTTTTATTAATGTCGCTCTTTTTATCGTCACTCATCTATTCCTTCTTAGGAGTGACGAACTGATACTTATATAACAGCAGATGCTTTGTTGACCACGTAGGTCCTAAAGAAAAGTTTGAAGAAGGACATACACAAATTGTTTAACTTTTCTCTTGTCGTTCCTTCCAACATGTTGTGATTTTTTGTTAGTTTCATATGACCTACTTAATTACCATCATATAATATATAAAAGTTGAAGGCATAGTGCATTGAGAACGTCCACATGAGATTAAAAAAATAGATCTGATTGGTCCACATCAGCATATTCATTAAATAAAAAAATGTTAAGTATGATTAGGACGGAAAAACTTATTTTAATTGGTCCACATCAGCTTTTAAATCAGACCAAAAATTATTAAGTATAATTAAAACATTAAAAGTTAATTTAACAAATTATGTCCAAAAAAAGTAAATTCAATCTGATTGATCCAAATCAACATATTTATTAAATCAGAAAATGTTAATATGGTTTAAAAATTTAAAAGTTAAATAAATAAATTAACAATTAACAATACATGTATAAAAAAACTAACTATTATCAATTATCAATTTAAAAAAATCTACAACAACTCGATCTAACAATTAAAACAATGTAAACTGAATAAAAATATAACATCAAACTCTTGGAAGACATGATGGAGAAAGAAAAAATGTGATCATTACAGCTTCCTAACAAAATTAAATGTGAATCAACATGAATCATAATTTATATATATAGTGGTATACAACATCAATAAGACTTTCAATAAAAAAAACTAAATATTTGAACACATAAACCTTCAAGAAAAAAAGAACTATAGAAATTCTATGGAAAACAGAAAATAATACCAAAATCTTAGCAAAATTATATTTCTCTGAATCAAATATATATGTACCTCAAAGTTAGATAATTTGATAGGTGTTATTGTTATTATTTTACCTAATAGTTTTTTAAAATTAATAAATAAAAACAGGATAAATTACATAGTATATATTAAATTCTCTTATATAAATAAAATTTTTTATAAATATATATAATTTTTAATAATTTTAAATATAATAATTAAAAAATAAATCAAAATATTAATACAGATTCGCGCGTAGCGCGAGTTATATACCTAGTGAAGAAAATAAAAATCAAGCCCATGCCCATTAACCTAGCCAAACGCATTGCTCCATAATTACTTTGTTCTTCTTTCAACCTAATTTTTACTCACTTTTTCGCTTCAATGGTGCCGCCGATTCTAACGGGTACGTCATTTCCATTTCTCGTTTGGAAATTAACTAATTGAGTTGTTTTAACAACTCTTGTAGTCATGTTTACACTCATTTGAGTAACAATCTAGCAATTTATTCCCAGCTTTCATTCAAAGTCGATTGCTTCTCTCAGCAAGGCGAAAACAGATCTCATCGTGGAGAAGGAATGTCATGACACCGGTATAGCTACAAAAGATAGTGAATACCTTGCTCTGAAGGCTGACTTTGACAAGCAGGAAGTGCGTCGCCAAGAGAGAAAGGTGCGCATGTCAGCCAGTGCGGGAGCCATTGTCAGACAGTGGGAACTCGTTCAAGAGTTTAAAAGAGGAAAAGGTGATGGTTGGGACGTTAGAGAGGCGGAGGCCCAGTATCGCGAGGTCTCAATCGAGGAAGCCAAAATTGATGGAAAGACACCACCTGTGTTCCCTGAGACGTTCACAGGCTTTAGTGCTGGCGCTCTCGTGAATGACATCCTCGACGACGATGATGCCGTAGACAACGACACTAATGCCCCTGGTACCAACTAGTGAGGTCTCGGTCGGTTGGTTGTCCTTATCTTTTGAGGAGTTCATTAACTCTTTCTCTCAATGCTTTCTCTCGAACTTATTTATGGAACTTCTATGTTTCCTTATTTCCTTGCTAAATCATAAAACATTTTCGGATGGTGCGATACTTGTTGGTGCTTTGTTTTCACCTTTAGCCATTGTTCATAGCTTTGTAGGCGTGTTACATGACTGTTTTCACATAATTTGGTTGGTACAAGGGAGTGCCTTAAGCATATGTTGCCCCTTTTGTTTTTATGGGATTGTGCTTTCGTTTTTCAGAGACAGAGCTCAATGATTATTATATCAGTTTAAGTTCTCGGAGGAGCTACCTTTCACCCACTTTGATGGGAGGTTCTTGCTTGTGGCTTACCATAATTGATACTATAGTAATATCCATTGTCGATGTTATATTATCAAATTCTCCACTTTATTTCGCATTCCTAACCAACTCATGCACGCTCGGCAAGGAGGTCGTATATTCTTTCGAGGCAGTGCCCTCTAGCAAGTGAAGACTGTCGCTCGTTATTTTTTTAGCAAGGATGTCCCTCTTATAAGCCTTTTAGAGCAGCTCCAATGCAAAGAACCTTTCATGGGTTCTAAACATTATTTTGGTTATAAATTTTGAATTTTTTTAAGTTAAGAACTTTTTTAAAAGTAATTAAAATTGTATGGCTCCAATGGTTGAACCCCATTGAGGTTCTAAAAAAAATATTATTTTAAAAGTTAAAATATTTAAATAGAATTTATATTTTATAAAACTTAAATATTATTGCAATTCATAAAATTTTAAACAAACATGACATAAAAACATATTACAAATAGATATAAAAATCATAAACAGAAAAAAGACTAGTTGTAATTTTAAGTTGTGCCAAAATTTTGCCATATATTTTCAACCAAATCAGCATTCAATTGTTGATGTACTGCTCGATCACAAAGTCGATTTCGAATGCTCATCATATTGCCGATATTTGAAGACATATCTGTAGAATACGTGAAATCCACTTGTGAAGTTCTGTTTGCTTCTGCTTGTGCAAATTCTAATACATCAAACTGAGTGTACCCATCTCGTTCGTCTTCTACTATCATATTGTGCATTATGATACATGCTCTCATTATCTTTCCAATTTTTACCTTATCCCAAATAAGAGCTGGGTTTTTGACTATGGCAAATCGAGCTTGCAAGACTCCAAAAGCACGCTCGACATCTTTACGTACAGCTTCTTGATGTGTAGCAAATAAGGAAGCTTTCGGACTTTGTAGAATCGGAATAGATTGGATAAAAGTAGCCCATTTTGGATAAATATCATCTGTAAGATAGTAAGCCAACTGATACTCGTGTCCGTTGACAATGTAATTCACTTTTGGAGCTCGACCTTGTAATATATCATCAAAAAAAACTGGTGAACGATCAAGAACATTGATATCGTTTAATATACCTGGAGGTCCAAAAAACGCGTGCCATATCAAGAGATCTTGTGAAGCTACAGTCTCTAAAACGATTGTTGGCTTTCCAGATGCACGTGTATATTGACTTTTCCATGCGGTCGGGCAATTCTTCTATTCCCAATGCATACAATCAATGCTTCCTATCATCCCGAGAAATCCGCGTATCTCTCCAATATCGAGTAGTTGTTGAAGATCTTCTGACGTGGGTCTCCTTAAGTACTCATCTCCAAATAAATTTATGACTCCTTCAACAAAATGTTCCAAGCATGAAATCGCAGTGCTTTCATCTAGCCGGAGATATTCATCAACTGCATCAGCTGCACAACCATATGCCATCATACGAATTGCTGTTGTAGACTTTTGTAATGCAGAGAGACCGAACCTTCCAACAGCATCTCTTCTTTGTTGAAAGAATGGAACTTCAGTGGAGAGTCGATCAACAATACGCATGAACAAGGGCTTGTTCATTCTGAAACAACGTCGAAATTTATGAGGAGGATATATTGCATCTTCACTGAATTAATCATTCCATAAGCGGATTTGTCCTTGTTCACGTTGTCTTTCAATGTTGGGTCGTTTTTTTTTTGACTTCTTGACAATCACCATGACGAATGAAAAAATTATCGAATGCTTGATCAGAAAATTGCTCGAGTTTTTCACCCATCATTTCTTCGATATTATTATTGGAAGAAGATGCCATTTTAGAGAAATAGATGAATATATGGTAAAAAAAGCAAAATGTTTGATATTTTTTTTGGTAAACGAAGTGTGAAACTTTGAAAAGAAGCAAAGTGTTTGTGAGAAATATTGTATCATCTTTGTGACTTAAATAGAAAACATTTGTGGTGTACATCATTTTCAAGATATGTGGTTCCAATACAAAGCAATTATTAAAAAATTTATCGTTCTGAATACAAAGAAAAAATTTGTGGTTCCAAATAGAAATCACGTGAAAACTAACTATGCAAAAGTACATGTCACACGGTGTTGTTGTTTCTTCTTGTCTTCTTCTTCTTCTTGTCTTCTACTCATTGAGAGATATTCCGCTTGATGCCGCTTGCTGGTTCCAGCATTGTCTAAACACACCACACAAGGATGTGTTAGATGAAATCTATATTACACACTGAAACAATAAATTCAAGAGCATAGATTCAAGCCATAAACAAACCAAATTCAAGAGAAAAGAAAAATCATCAATCACCAATACAAATGCATCACATGTCGCGAATAATTACTGCTCAAGCGGAAATTTCAAAATACCATCGATTCCAAGAAAATGCAATAACCCCGAGGCGCTATACACTGATATTTCACTCATCTGATATTTTTAAATGCTGGTTACAATAATTTTGCTTACTCTACATATGCAAGATCGAAACAGCAACCTTTATAAAGGATTAAACATCCATGTTTCAAACAACAGAAACTCAACAAAGTACAGACACCGAAACTCAAACTCAACAAACTCAACAAAGTTTCAAACAACAGAAACTCAATCAAACATAAACTCAAACTCAACAAAGTTTCAAACAACAGAACCTCAATCAAACTCAAACTCAAAAACTTGCTAACATGTCATCAATTAGCTTATTCTTTAAAGTCATTTCTATTTCACTAAGTGGCTCTGTTTTTGCAAGTAGACTGTCAAGCAATTTACGCTTGTTAAGCTTCTCCTTCAAAGCAAAGTCCTTTTGCCTTATCTCCCAAATGCTCTGATACTCCAAAAGCTGCTTGCCTTCTTCTTCCACAGTCGTTGGCTTGCTCACAGACTTTTTAGCTTTGGCCTTTGCTGCCTTAACACCAAGAGGCCGAGCCATTGCTTCATCCGCTCCATGGCTACCTGGCACAGAGGTTGATGACTGTGCGGATTGGTCATCACACTTTCTTCTTTTTGACCGAACATTATCTTTAGTAGAAGAAGATCCACACCATTTCTGATCATGGCGAAGCTCCCTCCACGCATGCTCAAGGGTGAATTTGACCTTGTAATCATTGAAGAATATTTTGTGAGCCAGTTTCATAACATCATTCTCATTCTGCCCACTGGATTTCTCTTTTGTTGCAGCATCATAGCAGCCTACAAACTTACATACACCCTCATTTATCTTCCCCCACCTTTGCTTACAGTGACTTGGCTCTCTCTTTTGCAGACCAACAAGCTTTGGACTTGATGCAAAATAGGCTCTAATGCGTTTCCAAAACGCTGCTGCTTTTTGCTCATTCCCAACAACCGGATCTTTGGAGGTGTTCAACCAAGCACTGATGAGCACCACATCTTCTGTTGGTGACCATTTCCGTCTTTCTTTACAGTCATCAACTGTGTGTGCATCTAGGTTTGTATCATCAGTCCATTGTGTACTGAAGACAGGGACCTTCGATGATCCAAGTTCTATTGGTTGTTGACTGTTTAAGAGGTTTAAAAAGCTAGAAGATTGACTACATGAATCCATAACCTTGTTTTTGATGAAAGAGCAAAGGAGAAGGAAGGGTTATGTTCTGTGTTAGACTCTTACTAAAAACTATTATATATAACAGGTTGTTAGTGTAGTTGACGTTTAGGGTTTAAGTTTTAATGGTTCGGGTTTAAGTGTGACAGTACAAGTTGCTGTTAGTGTAGTTAAAGTTTTGAGTTTAAGTTTTAATGGTTCGGGTTTAAGTGTGACAGTACAAGTTGTTGTTAGTGTAATTAAAGTTTTGGGTTTAAGTTTTAATGGCTAGAGTTTAAGTGTGACAGCAGAAGTTGTTGTTAGTGTAGTTGGCAATCAATGACTTTACCTAAAACTAAAACAAGCAAGCATTGATCACAGATAGCATAAGTATAATGTAGACAGAAGTAAATGTAAAGCAGTCCTAATGCAATAAACGGATGTGATTTAAAGTAGATGGATAAGAGATTCACCTAGAGAATTGGTGCCTGAGGGAAATAGCGAGAGATGTGATCATCAATGTTCTTAGCCACACCACAGAGCTCCACATCATCGAACATCTCCTTCGCATGAAAGTATCCAACAATACTCAAACCTTGAGCCACGTAATGATCCTTTTTCTAGCACATCAAAGCAGCAAAGATATTTCCAAATCCGTAAGTTCAGAAATGCCAATTCGCAATACAGACAATAAATCTCTTTCAAACACGGCTACAGAACAATGTTGTACTGATTTTTCTAATGTTTAAATAGAAAGAACAGTAAGAACCAGGAATCAAGGAGCATTAGAAACCTTGTAACTAGGATAATGGGTTCCCTTGCGAGCATTAGAAACCTTGTAACATTATCAGAGTCATCCTAAATTGATTGAACTTCACAATCAAATCATCCACAAGTTTATAAATTATGGACGAAAAAAATGGTAAAAGGCAATCGAAAAACTCTATAAACCTGGATATCTTCAGCAAGTATGTTCAAACCATATATCTTTGCAGCTTCGGCGCTCGCAACTGCTGCTGCATCACTTAAGTTTTCGAATGCAATTTGCTGCGAATTAAATCCATAAGCTTAATAAAGCATCAATCGTAATTTTGTGAACATATAATAGCATAAACTTACCTTTGCAGCACCTGCAGTGTCATCTACTGCTTCTCTGACCAATCCCAATCTAGTTAACGTGTTTTCACATTGAGCAAGAGCCTGATCCAAAGCAACGACTAAGGCCTTTTACTTCATACTAAGAGAAGAACTGGAAAAATCTACAAAGGCAATGTGGTGTACCTGTGTATG